GCGCTTCGCTAAGGCGAGAACCGCATTTGCAAAAGGAGTCGCCTTCAATATGTGATAATCTTGCACATTCTGAAACGAAAATGCGCGGCGCCAAAGCGAACAGTTTTTTTGAAAACCACCCGGCCTCATTCCGTGATTCCGTGATACTCTTGCAGATCTTTGAAACGAATGTGCCCGGCGCTAAAGCGAGAACCGCATTTTGAAAATGAGCCGCCTTCAATCCGTGATGCTCTTATTCATATTTGAAGCGAATATGCGCTGCGCCAAAGCGAGGACAACAGTTTGAAAAGCACCCGCCCGAAATTCGTTAATCCATTATTTTTTTGAGACGAGTGTGTGTGTGTGGCGTTAATGCGAGAGCCACATTTGGGAAGCGACCCGCCTTCAACTTGTGAAACTGCTGCCAGTTAAACAGGCCGCAGTTTTTAAACTCCAGGCTCGTAAGTGGTAAGGAAGTCTCAGGCGAAACGCCGGGCCCGTCCTTCCGACTAGTCTCGGGGTGCGACAGGGTGGAGTTATCCATAAGGTAAAGGAGCAGAGGAGGAGGAGGACAAGAAAAGAATGAGGAGGAAGAGGATGATGATGATGATGATGAGGAGGAGGAGGAGGAGGGAAGAAGGGACAGAGGGGGGGAATGAGGGAGGGAGGGAAGGATGGAGAAGGAAGAGGAGGAGGAGAAGGAGGTGGAATAGGAGGAGGACGAGGAGGAGGAGGAGGGGGATGATGATGATGATGATGATGATGATGATGATGATGATGATGATGATGATGATGATGATGATGATGATGAGGATGATGACGATGATGAGGATGACGATGCTGATGATGATGACGATGATGATGATGATGACGATGATGGTGGTGGTGGTGACGATGATGATGATGATGATGATGATGATGATGATGATGATGATGATGGTGCTGGGGTGGTGATGATGATGATGCTGATGCTAGTTCTGATCATGATGCTGTTGCTGCTGCTGATGATGGGGATACTGATGATAATTATGAGGATGGTCATGCTGATTATGATGATGATATATGACGGTGTTGATGACGATGATGATGGTAATGCTGCTGGTGCTGATACTGATGTTGATGATGATTATGATGATGCTGATTCTGATTATGATGATGATGATGCTGATGATGATGACGATGACGATGATGATGATGATGATGATGATGATGATGATGATGATGATGATGCTGATGATGATGATGATGACGATGATGATGATAATAGCGGTTGTGGTGTTGATGCTGATGGTGATTGTGATGATGTTGCTGCTGATGATGGCGATGATGCGGATGATGCGGTGACGACGGTCATGGTGATCATGGTCACGGTAATGATGACTATGATGATGATGACGACGACGACGAGGACGATACTGATGTTGATGATGATGATGATGATGATGATGATGATGATGATGATGATGATGGTGGTGGTGGTGATGGTGATGGTGATGGTGATGGTGATGCTGCTGCTGCTGCTGATGATGATGATGATGATGATGATGATGATGATGATGATGATGATGATGATGATGATGATGATGATGATGATGATGATGATGAGGAGGAGGAGGAGGAGGAGGATGAGGAGGAGGAGGAGGATACCCAAAGAGGACGTGGACGGGATGATCGACAACGAGGTGGCTTCCACATTGCTCAGTACTGGAAGGCCCAAACTGGGCAGACGCGGGGAAATCCACCGTCAGGTGGGTGGCGCCAGGGCTCTCTCGCTCCCTAGTCCTCTTCCTCTCCCTCCGTCCTCCGCCCTCCTCCTCCGCCTCCCTCTCCCGCCGCTCACCTTCCCTCTTCCCTCCTTTCATTACCATTCGAGTGTGCAGGCCTCCGCCATCCCGCCGTTCGACTCCCTCCTCCCTCCTCCCTCCTCCCTCCTCCTTCCCTCGTTCCTTTCCTTGCGCTCCCTCCTCCCTCGTCCCTATTCCCCCACCTCCCACCTGCACCTCTTTCGCCCCCCTTGTCCTCCGCCCCTTGTTCTTCGCCTGCACTCGTCGCCGGAGGCGCGTCTGTGAGGCCGTGGGCGTTTTTTTTTCCGCCGAGGCATGCAGGAGAGGGGGGAGGGAGGGAGGGAGCAGGGATCCCAGAGCTCCGGCGTATTGAAAAAATCTGTACGGAAGTTCTTCGTCGTGCCTCCTGGGGCCCTCGGTGGGCCCCGAGACCGTAACAAAAACAATTCAGGATGAACAATTGGTCCCGGGGAGGGGTCGATTTACGGGGGCCCCGTACTGAACAAAATCAAACATCCGATTTTTGATATTCTTTCTTTTCTGGCGGGGAAGTTGGTCTCGGTCGGCAGCGGGGGTCGGCTACGCGCAAAGGGGGTTTGGGGGAGGGGAGACGGCTTCTTAGAAGGAGGCTGCTTCTTAGAAGGCGCTGGCCTTGTCTACAGATGCAAGGCTCGCGCCCTCTACGAAGCAGCCTCCTTCGCAAAAGCCTTCCCCCTCCCCCTACCCCCCTTGTGCGCGCCGCCGAGGGTGCGCCTGCAGAGGCTGGAGTCGGTCCCCCCGTCTCGAACCATCGGCTTGGGGACCTCTGTGGCGCGCTCCGTGCGGCGACCAGCTTCTCGCGGTCTCCTCAGCAGGGAGTCCATGGAGTTCACCGGGTCCAAGATGTGCGTGTGCGCGAACGACGAGTCCGTAGATCGGGCAGACGTCGCCAAGGGCGTCATTGCTGATTTTCAGATTGGCAGGCTGCTGGGAGGAGATAAGCGTGCCACATTCTGCGAAGCGAGGGAAAGAAGGGGGCCCATCTGTTGCATGCGAATATTTTCAACGTGTTGAAAATATGTTCGCACGCGTGGGCCCCAAACAGTGTGTTTCTAGCACTCTAGGTTTGCAGCCTATATGGCGCAATATTTGTGTAGAATCTATGCTTTGTGCCATCTATGTGTTGTGCAATCTATGTTTTGTGCACTCTATCTTTTGTGCAACCTATGTGGTACCATCTATGTGATGCAATGTGTGTGCTGCAACCTTTGTTGTGTAACATATGTTTTGTGCACTCCGTGTTTTGGGAAACGTGTGTTCTGTGAAATCTACGTTCTGCAACCCATGGGGTGTATTATATGTGGTACAGTCTATGTGGTGTAACCAATCACTTGCTCAACTTGAAGCTGTCCTCTCCACTGCTCGCGCAAACATCCCACCCTCCCACCCGCAACTTGGTTTGCAAAACCTCTTAAGACCGACTACGACGACACCGACGACAACGACGACGACGACACCGACGACGTCTCCGACGACTTCGAACGACGACGAAGGAGGAAGGACGGCGACGCCGACGACGACAACGACGAGGGAGGAGGGACGACGACGACGGTGACGAAATAGAACCGACGACGAGACGCCGACGACGGACGACGACGACGACGTGGGAAGAGGAGGAGGAGGACGGACGACCACAGTGACAACGACGATGGAAACGACCATGATGCCAAAGAGGACGATGACGACGAACACGAGAAAAGACAGGACGACGTAGGCGACGACGACGACGACGCGGGAGGAGGGAGGACGGCGACGACGACGACGACGACGCAAGAACGCGCGCGCGCACGCTTTTGTTGAACATCCGTGTTCCGAAACCTTAGGTTTTTGTAGGTTTCTTGGACGCACGATTTTGAAATCCTTCCGAAACCGATGGGTTTTGAAGGTTTTCGGCATACGCCCGTGACGACGCGCGCGTCTGCACTTCGTCCCGTTTTTTGCTGAGGATTCTCGCGACGGCACACGCGCAAGGGCGTTCGACAGATTTCGACGCGAAGCCCTTTTTGGTAGCATTTTGTGAAAATCTGGAAAAACCTATGTTTTTTTTTTTTTTTTGTTTGTTTGTTTTTTTTTTTTAAAAAAAAAAAAAAGATTTCGCAAGAGCTCGCGCGGAAGCATTTTAGCAAACCAGTGTTGCGAAACCATGTGTGTGTGTGTTTTTTGGAAACTCGATTGCGAGATCCTTCCAGCACCGACGTTTTTTGAAAGATTTCAGCATGCGCGCGCGACGACGCGCGCGTGCGCATTTCGTCTCATTTTTGCAAGGGATTTGTGAACAAGTGTTATGTTAGACCAAACAGTGTCACCGCATAGTGTTTTTTTTACAAGGGAACTTCAGGGGGGGAACCGGGCCTGGCTGGGATGAGATGATTTCATACTTAGGATGGACGGGTGGTCAGAATCATATATGATTTACATACCCGAAAGGGGAATGGATAAGTCCGGGGGGGGGATGGTAAAGTCTATTCTCTTTTTAGAAAGGAGAATCGATGTGGTGTCGTCTATGTGGTTCGAATTATTTTACCGAAGTCGAAGTTGTCAACTACACTGCTCGCGCAACCATCCTACCCACCCGAATCTTGGTTTGCAAAACCAGTGCGGCGGCGAATGCCATGACTGCTTCGTGCTAGCTGGCGCATCGCTGCGGCCGCGCTAGCGCCCGCAGGCTCGCGCGCAAAGCGGCGAGCTAGTGTGGCGCGACCTACGCGGCCGCGGTGGCACTGCCGCTGGGCGCTTCCCAGCGCGTCTCGCAGGCCGCGCTGATGCGAGGGTACTTCAGTGTGAGTTGATGATTCGGGTGGGCGCGGTATCATGGCCACGACGATGACGACAATGACGTCAAGGCCAATGATGGCGCCGATGCTGATTACGACGATGGCGATGGTGGTGTCCACGTGCCGTTGGTGAATGGTCTGGAGGGGGCGCGGCCGATGGGCGCGAGAGGCTCAAATGGTGTTGTTTCACGTGGATCGTGCCCCCCCCTTTCTCTTCCAGCACGTGCGCAAGGGCGTTCGAATGATCTCGACATGCGCTCGCGAAAGGCCCGTTTGGTAGCTATTGATGAACATGTTTAGCATTCAATGTTATGCAATAGTCGAAAGGTTCGCAGGCGCGTCGACTTTTTTCTTCACATCCGTGTTCCACCGAAGGCCCCAGTGGCGTTGTTCGCATGCGTCACCCCCACCCAAAACAGCGCTTCGTGGCCACATAGGAAGCGCCACCGAAGGTCCCGGTGGCGCAGTTCGCATGCGTTTCCCTCACCCAGTACAGCGCTGCGTGGCCCAAAAGGGAACCCCACCGAAGGTCCCAGAGGCGCAATTCGCATGCGTCCCCCCACCCAGTACAGCGTTTCGTGGCCGCAGAAGGAGCTCAACCGAAGGTCCCACTGGCACAGTTCGCATGCGTTTCCCCCACGCATTACAGCCTTTCGTGGCCCCAGAAGGAACTCCACCGAAGGCGATACAGGCTTCGGAACAAATTTGCGTACACTCATGCCAAATTCATCTGTCAACGCCTCCCCCCTTCCCCCGATGTTCAAAGTTGGCGGCGGGTCTGGTGAGATGCGCTTCGACCGCAGTGTTTTCCGCGCGTGCCATCATTGAGTTGGGGGGAGGGGGAGTGTTCACTAATTGTTTCCCTCTACCGTCTCATGTTTTAGTTTACCCCGTCAACTGCGAGTTGGCCGAGCGTTTCTGCGGGTAAGGATTTCTGCGATACCACTGTGATATATATATATATATATATATATATATATATATATACACATACATACATACATATATTCATATGCATAACTATGTGTACACATGCGTGTACATATGTCCCCCTTTTTAGTGTTTTGGCGCCCGGGTCGCCCCGCGCCTCGTTCGTCATGTATTACTCCTATCACTCGTCCCATCGCTCCTTCTTTTTCACATATTACTCGTATCGCTCGTAGAAAGAAAATGCGATTCTGCGGTTTTTTCTTCTTCTTACGAGTGATACAAGTAATATCTTTTAAAAATATGGAGTGCTGGGGCGAGCGATAAGAGTAATATGTGAAAAATAGGGTGGGATGCGCGAAGCGCCTCCGGGGGGGCCCGGGGCCGTTGGGTAGGCGCTAAAAATGACGACGTGCAGCCGTTTGGGCCGTTTCTTGCTTGTTGCCCGGACGTCGTCGTTGTCAATCGGCCGCCGCCGTGTTCGTCGTTAAAGTTGAAAAGCAAATTGTCAAGTTCGACGTGTCCCTGTCTGACTCAGTCCGGGGTAGGTCCACGGTTGACGGTGTGAGCTTCGCAGTGATTGAGACGTTTCCTCTCCAGTCCACCCCTCGAGCATTTTTCCGTGTACCGCTCCCTCTACTTCTGCGCCCCAATCAGTTCGAGCGCAGCCGCGTGCCGGGCAACATATCCACATCTCATGTTTTAGTTTACCCCGTCAACTGCGAGTTGGCCGAGCGTTTCTGCGGGTAAGGATTTCTGCGAGACAATTATGATATATACATAGATTCATATGCATAACTCTGTGTACACATGTGTGTATATATATATAACTATATGTATGTATGTATGCATGTATGTAATGTAATGTAATGTAATGTAATGTAATGTAATGTAATGTAATGTAATGTAATGTAATGTAATGTAATGTAATGTAATGTAATGTAATGTAATGTAATGTAATGTAATGTAATGTAATGTAATGTAATGTAATGTAATGTAATGTAATGTAATGTAATGTATGTATGTATGTATGTATGTATGTATGTATATATATATATATATATATATCACCCTTTTCTGGTGTTTTGGCGCCCGGGTCGCCCCGCGCCCCGTTCGTCATGTATTACTCGTATCACTCGTCCCATCGCTCCTTATTTTTCACATATTACTCGTATCGCTCGTAGAAAGAAAATAAGTTTCGTTTTTTTCCCCAACGAGTGATACAAGTAATATCTTTCAAAAATATGGAGTGCTGGGGCGAGCGATACGAGTAATATGTGAAAAATAGGGTGGGATGCGCGAAGCGCCTCCGGGGGGGCCCGGGGCCGTTGGGTAGGCGCTAAAAATGACGACGTGCAGCCGTTTGGGCCGTTTCTTGCTTGTTGCCCGGACGTCGTCGTTGTCAATCGGCCGCCGCCGTGGTTCGTCGTTAAAGTTGAAAAGCAAAGTGTCAAGTTCGACTTGCCCCTGTCTGACTCAGTCCGGGGTAGGTCCACGGTTGACGGTGTGAGTTTCGCAGTGATTGAGACGCTTCCTCCCCAGTCCACCCCTCGAGCATTTTTCCGTGTACCGCTCCCTCTATTTCTGCGCCCCAATCAGTTCGAGCGCAGCCGCGTGCCGGGCAACGCATCCACATCTCATGTTTTAGTTTACCCCGTCAACTGCGAGTTGGCCGAGCGTTTCTGCGGGTAAGGATTTCTGCGAGACAATTATGATATATACATAGATTCATATGCATAACTCTGTGTACACATGTGTGTATATATGCAACTTTTTTATTGTTTTGGCGCCCGGGTCGCCCCGCGCCTCGTTCGTCATGTATTACTCGTATCACTCGTCCCATCGTTCCTTATTTTTCACATATTACTCGTATCGCTCGTAGAAAGGAAATGAGATTCTGGGGTTCTTTCTTTTTCTTACGAGTGATACAAGTAATTTGTAAAATATAGGGAGTGCTGGGACGAGCGATACGAGTAATACGTGAATAACAGGGTGGGATGCGCGAAGCGCCTCCGGGGGGCCCCGGGGCCGTTGGGTAGGCGCTAAAAATGACGGCATGCAGTCGCTTGGGCCGTTTCTTGCTTGTTGCCCGGACGTCGTCGTTGTCAGTCGGCCGCCGCCGTGGTTCGTCGTTAAAGTTGAAAAGCAAATTGTCAAGTTCGACTTGCCCCTGTCTGACTCAGTCCGGGGTAGGTCCACGGTTGACGGTGTGAGTTTCGCAG